AAAAGTAACGTAACTACGTAACGTTAGTCGTACTAGTGTTCGTACGTAAACGGAACGAACGTAGTACTAACGGAAGTAGTAGTTACTACTACTACTACTACTCTCTCTCTCTCTCTCTCTCTCTCTCTCTCTCTCTCTCTCACACACACACACACACACACAAAAATGCACACACAAATGTGTGAGACAATGGCTACTTTGTTATCACAAATCCGATGGTTGATTCAGATAATCATAAAATGTTCTATACTTCATACGAACCTAGAGTTAAGTACTCATCCAATGTTCATACTTATCCATCATCTAATGTCCATTCTTATACACTGGCGGTGGGAAATGAGTTTTTTTCCCCTGTTTAAGCTACATGTTATAAGTGGGAACAGCTGCTCATTGCCATTATCCACAGATAAGAACAGATGATGGGCCCAACACTTTACTGATATGAAGTAGAGAACCAGTCCCTTATATACCGAAGTAAATAAAGATTCACATCCATCTTGAGATCCCCATTTCTATCCTATGCAGGAAAAAATTTACTTTCATGTATCCTTTCATTAATAAAGGCAGTGAGTTGCTAAGGGAACATTTTCTACAACAAAATGCTTCTTTCGATAGCTCATCAAAAGAAAAAGAAAAGGCTTCTCTCGCTTAAACTATGAACAGAAAGATTATCCAAACTTGTGCTACTCCCAATGATACCACCATTTCTCAAAGCAATAAATATTGTTCACTACGACATTTGAAATGAAACGTATTTGATTCTGTGACATGCCAAGAATATCTTTATCCTCTCAGAATGATAAAGAACAATGCCATATACTTTGTAAGCTACGAAGCTAAATTATAGTACTTCTAAGTCATAAATTAATGAACTCTTTTTGCATTACTGATGCCAATGATTTATTTATAGCAAATGATTTCCCAAGGTCTTCACTTTCCAAGTTCTTGTCCAAATTTCATTAAGTCCATGCCATCAGCTAAATTTGATTGTTGCAGATTTGTATTATAAATTGCTAATATAATCTATGATATCACTTCAAAGTTTATTTAAAATACTTATCCTTTTTAAGCTTTGCACTGAAACCTCTTCAATTTCAATTACCTCTTCTTCCATCTTTAAAAAAAATGAAAAGTTCCTTCGATCATCTAATTGACTTCTGGTTTCAATTTAAGTCAGTTAACTCAGAAATGCAGACAAAACCATTATTTTTCACACATTCCGAACATATACACAGAGAGAGTCCATTTCCAAGAATTTGACAATTAGACGGACTGATTGGCATTGTGAGCAAGTAAAAACACACCGCACACATGCACACGCACAGAGTTGCACTTCATTTCCAAGAATTTAAGCATTAACTCCCCTGAGCTGGAGTCAATAACAAATGCAAGAACCCAGAGAGAGATAGAAGCAAAAACCATTGCCAATCTTTTGAGAATCAGAGCATACCGAATTGGCATCGATAACAAGAGAGGGAGGAACAAAAAGGAGCTTCTCTCCCTTTCTTATATTCTTCAAGGCTACCAGCCCTCTCTCCCCAACCTCAACCCTCTCAATCGCCATCTTCTGAGGAGGAAGCCCATTCTCCGAAAGCCATCTCTTCAAATACGAAGCATTCTCCGAGGAATCGATGTCACAGCCCCAACGAACTGCCCCGACTTCTTCTCTCTCAATTCCACAGCTGCCGCTCCTCGAAGGAGAAGAGACCGAAACGACCCTAAATTTGCATTGATTTTCTCTGCTTCTTCTAGTATTAGGGTTTGAAGCCGGGAAGGAGGGGAGGGAGGGCGTGAAAAAGCTTCTAGAAGCTTGTGGATGCTTCAAAGATGTAGAGATCGAAAGAACTGGGAGAATTGAAGGGAAATTTAGGGTTTTCTTGGGGTTAGGGTTAGGGATGGAGAACGAGGACGAGAAGAAGGTTACAGAAGCTTCGGCCATGGATGAGGGGAGAGTGAAGCGCAGAAGTGGCGGGAAGCTTATCTGCTTCCGCGGGCAAGGAAGGCGTTACGTTGGTAGAGGTTTTACTTAACTACCCTTTTTTTCTCGATATATATCTATTTTACGCCCATCTTATGAAACAAAAATTGGGCTTCATGTTATGAGTTGCCCCTTCGAAATATGTAAATGCGGCATGGGTCTCCTACAGTAGAAAATTAGCGTTTTCAAAGAGGGAAAAGTTCGTAAAGTTGATAAACTTTCTAATTGAACATCCCGACCGTATGAATACAAAGGAAAAATAATTTTACGTCCTAAAATAAGTGAGTCTTGTAACAAATCCTCACCTTGACTTGGATGCTATCGGGTCGGGTCAATGGTCAACCCAACCCAATCTATACATTATACATAAAATGTAACATATATGTTCAGTAAATAAAGCCTGATCTTTTTATTTAGACCTGGTCCCAACCCTTTGGGTAGGGTCTAGGTTTAATTGATTTGGGTCCAACTCAATTTCAGGGTTTTTTTCTAGACCTAATCACGTCTAGCTTAGTTAAGGGTTCACATGTACCGGAACCAATTCATTTCTAGCCTTATAAGCTTAGGAAATACCTTCTACCCAAGCCCCGAACGACCTTTAAGCCCCCAAAAGTGGTCCCTACCACCCTATCAATCCCTCTTTGTCATTCACATTGCAGGGCTGGTAGTAGGCCGATGCCTGGCCCTTTAAAACTTGGGGTTGGGTCAGAAAATGCAGTCGGCCCATGAAAATGCTCCTTGTTAGTAGTTTTTAAAGAAATTTTATAAAAAATACTCTTTTAGATTATTATTGTTAAAAAATTATCTTGAAAACTTTGCTCATACCCATTTTTACATCCCCCTCCCCACTTTAGATTTTCAAAATCTAAAGTTCTCTTTAGCCTTCAACAAGCTTGCTGGATGCAAAGAACATTTCGGATTTTGAAAATCTGAAATGCTATAAACTTGATATTGGGCTTGCAGGATGTAGTTTAGAACTTCGGATTTTCCCAATCCAACATTTAAAAAACTTTCAAATTTCAAAATCCAAAGTGTCTGTAAGCATTATAAACCTGGGAGAGGTCTAAGTGCTCTATTACAGATGTTAAACTTCACTTTCAACATCCAAAATAGGGACTATATCATGTTGAAAAATATGAATAAATTGGGTACAAATATAATAACATAAAAAAAATGGGGATTTCTTAAAGAATGACACTTTAAGAATCGCGTAAATTGCTCCACTTTTTAGCATAAATTAAAAAAACTCTTTTTGGGTCTCAAATATAACAAACGGTATTCTCTAATTGAGAGCAAGTGGTCCATCCAAACACTACCTTGGGACAAATGCACATAGGAGGAGGGGCTTTTTGACATTTGCATTCAGTGGTGGGCATTTCAGCCATTTGTGGACGGAATAGGGGTATTATGGTCATTATCCATTATATAGAGCAGAATATCATCACCAAAATCAAACTGGCCTCTTCCTTAGAAATGACACACAGTTTCTCTCTCCTCAGACCTTATTCCCTTACAAATTGCAGCCCAATTTCATATAATCTCTCTTCATTTCACCCACCATTCAGAATTCATAATCCCCAATATCAAAACCCAAACCCTAGAATCTCAAGAAAACTAACCATTAGGTCCCATCTTCCCCTCAAAAACCTCTGTAAAAGATCCAATTTCCACCACCCTTTGCCATTTAGGAAAGTGGGTTCTTCCCATTTGTGCAGAGACTCCATTGAAAACCAGGAAACAGAGGATCCAATATCAGAATTTGGCTCTCCTTTAGAGAGTGAAAGGGGGATTTCTGAAAACAATGGCGGAACTAAGGCTGATTGGACAACTTCAGTTCTGTTGTTTGGCCTCTGGGGAGTTCTCATGTACTATGTGTTCCTGCTCTCTCCCAACCAGACACCGGTAGGTGTCACAACCTCTCTCTCTCTCTAAAACTAATGTCCAAGACTCGAAATGTAGGATATGGAAGGACACAAACTCACAAATTACTCTTGTCTGTTAGATTTCAAAATGGGCTGTTATAAGTGTTACTGACTAGGCTCAAATTTCAGGGCACAAAAAAATCTCAAACACACATCAAGCTGTCCATTTTGACATCTAATGGTTAGTAGTAATTGTTGATTAGTAGTAATTGTGACCTCGTTGTAACAAAGATAAAGACAAATGATCTTATAATATACAATACCTTTAAGATTTGTCATTACAAAAATACCCTCAAATTTTTTTGTAACGGGGATGTACCTTTTGTCTGTTATTTTCTTTTTCCTAACTTTATCCTCACTCAGGATATTGAAAATTCAAAGGCACTAGTCAGCTTTTTTTTTTCTTCTTTAAAGTGATTTTTCACTTGAAAATCCAAAGTCATTCTTGACTTTGGAGTTTGAATATCAGAAGTTGCATTGATATGTTACTTACAATTCAACTTCGGATATTAAAAATCTGAAAGTCGAAGTGATCTTGGATTTTTATCCTAATATGACTTTAAAAAAAATTAATATGACTATGTATATTGAAAATCCAAAGTCATTTGTGACTTCAGATATTGAATATCCCAAATCAGGGTAAAATTGCAATTAAAAAATGTCAGAAAAATTAAGATGGTTTTTTATAGTTACAATTTTTATGTAAGGATGTATGGGAAAATGTCTCTTCTTGTTACATTGTCCTCTAGGTTGCAACAGGCTGGGCCTGGACCGAATTGCTCCAAAGGGGCCTGGCTCAGGCCTGGCTCACTAAGGGAAGGGCCTGGACTCTGTAGTTCTGGGCTGGCCAGGCCAACCCAGCCCATTGCCATCTTGCATTTACCAAAATGACCATTGTGTCCTCCGATGAATTTCAAATCATTTTCCCAATTAGCACCCCTAAGTAATTGTTGTAACATTCTATAGTATCTTTTTCTTTCATTGGGTAGGTCAGGGAAGGTGTCCCTAGTCCCTACCTATGGCAGGAATGGAACTGAAGACCTCACGATCCTGGCCACCTAGCCCTGAGCGCATTATTCATACAAGGACATTGTCCATAACGTCCCTAGATGATTTTAGGACATTTCCACAATTGACCATTTTCTTCCTTGTTCGATTTCAACATTATTTCAAATATTTTATTGGTGACTTCGATAAATTTGCAGTCCAGGGACGACTATTTTTTGCAAAAGCTGCTCAATCTGAAAGGGGATGATGGCTTTGTGATGAATCAAGTGTTGGTTTGCCTTTGGTACATCATGGGATTGTGGCCCTTGATATATGCCATGTTACTTATTCCAAGTGGTAGAAGGTATTCAAAACCAACAATCTTTTATATTTGTTGAAGTTTTTCTTCATGTAATTTGGAAGTGACCTCCACATGCTAAGAGCTATTATTAATTGCACTGAATAAAAACTCATTAATTGCAGTGAAGAAAAACTCAGTGAGTCCAACTTGGACTCGCTGGAATTACTCAGTCTTGGCATGCCGCTGCTGTACGTAACCAAACTCATGGGAACCAGCCGAGTCTTGCCTGATTCCAAATATTTTATTTATTTATCATCAGAACTTGGACTGAGTCTTTGACAGAGGTGGCAGAGTCCGAGTCTCCTGACTCGGGCCTAGCGACTCTTGACCTAAAGCCTTGTTTTTTAGAGAACCACCGATTAAATCCATGCTTGAATGCCATGCTGATAGAACTCATGTTTTGCCATATAACATGAGTATGTTATATATGTGTTTATCCATTTATCAAAGTAAAAATTGAAGCCACACAACCGCCTTACATTGCATATGACTCTACTCTGTATTGGGTTTTTGAGACCTACAGTTGTTTGTTTCTAGTTCCATGAAACCTACGAATTCTACAAAGAACATATGGAAATATTCTCAAAGAAATTTCGTTTCAGACTGGGATTTCCAAATAACATTTCAGAATAAGTGGTATCAACTTGAATATCTTTGAAATGCTTTTCTGGGGAAGGTAGACCTCTCAACATACTTTCTATTGGCGAACTATAGATTGTCACTTGCTGTTAAGGGAGATCTAGGCCATGAATGACATTCTTAAAGCTAGGGATAGTGACAAGATCGAACATTTTACACAGTTTGCTTGTCGAGTGAGACTACTTAATTGCATTTTCTTTGAAGGAAAAGCTGCTGTACTTTATGTAACTAGACATATAGGAAGAGAATACAATTTAAAACATTGAGATTTAGATGCATAATAAGTTACAAAAAGATGATGGACTCAATAAGAGAAAATGGAATGCATACCATAGAATCTGGTAGTGTAAACTGCAATTGAAGAAATCCAGTCTGAGAGTTTCTTCTATCATGGTATTACTTATATTTCCTAGCATGAACGATACACAAAAATATTTGTAAGTATATATGCATGTGTGTATGCGTAAGGCTCCCCTGACTTCCTATAGATTACGAGTATTTTTCTTCTGTGGTGTGTATGTATTTTTGCATACTTCTCTTAGGACTTCCCATTTTATAAACAGTAGTATTCCATTTTATTGCTTTACATAAATTTGATGTTTTAACACTAGTAACCATCATTTGATGCAGCACAGAAAGCAAAATTCCTGTTTGGCCATTCGTTTTATTATCATGTTTTGGTGGAGCATATGCCCTTCTGCCATATTTCGTTCTTTGGCGGCCACCACCACCAACTATTGAAGAAGCTGAGCTTGGGCAATGGCCGCTGAACTTTCTTGACTCCAAAATAACCTCTGTGGTATGATAAGCTGCAACTTTTGTTTGTTGATTATTCTTAGCCATGATTTGGGCTATTTGCTCTGTTGATTGAGATGGAATGTTCTTTTTCCGATGAGGAATGAGTGGTATTTTTCCTTAGATATTATTGGAATTTAACTAAAAATAAAGAAAAAGAATAAGTGGTTTTCGTTGTGAACAGGCATTAGCACTTGGTGGTTTGGGACTAATCATATATGCGGGTCTTGCAAGTGGCGATACATGGAAAGAATTCTATCAATACTTCAGAGAAAGCAAACTTGTAAGCTTCTTAAATCTTTGAATGTGAGTTTCCATTCATTTCTAGATGAGTTATAATTCTTGATCTGAAACTTCCAACAAGTGCTTCTCAGTTTGTGATATATGATATCAACCACTTATCAGAAAAGAGATACTTGACAGTCACCGGTTCTGGCAAAGCTGTTGGCATTCTTTGGGTTCTTTTGAGTTATTTCTTTGATGATCTCTCTCTCTCTCTCTCTCTCTCTCTCTCATCATTATACAGTAAATTTCTTAGGATGTATGTGTGTCCCATCATCATAAAATGAGCGCCCATGGTTTTGATTTAATAACAATTTCTATAAGCTTTGTTCTCTCTTTGCAGTAAATTTCTTACGATGTATATGTGTAACTCCTTATCATAAAACAAGCAACCTTGATTTCCATGATTTGGTAACAATCCATTGAGCTTTTGTTCTCTTCTTACAATGTAAGGATTTCTTCTCACAAATTAGAGTCCAAAAAAATACTGTTTCAGTGCATAAATTTATCTTACCTAACAATTAGGAATCTCTCCTTATAAAAAGATTTCCTTACATGTATGTTATTGAGATAAAAATTTCATTTTTCAGATTTCTTACTTTTTAGTTTTTAGAAAAATAAGAAATACAGTTTCCTATACAATGTCATTGTTTAATATTTTTTTAACCAGTTTAAAGAAGTGGAGTTGAGAGTAACTTTACCCTTGTATTATGGTGTCCTAATAAACAAATGACCATCTCAATTGCTAATGCTATGCTCCAGTTTTCGAAGCAGTCACCAATAGTGAACCATTTTAATGATTTGGAAGAGTTCTTGCTATGTTTTAGTTTTCAACAAAAGATCTCATCTAATATTTTAATTTTTTTCCCCTTAATTAGTTACTTGTGAGGCTGATAAGGATGAGAAACTAAGAAAGTGGAGTTATTGTTTTAGGAGATTATTTGATCAAGAATTCTCAATTGCAGGTCCATATCACATCCCTCGATTTCTCTTTACTCTCTGCCTTTGCTCCTTTTTGGGTCTACAATGATATGACTGTAAGAAAGTGGTAAGAATACTAAGACTCTAGAAAAGTTTGTTCTCAACTTTCATTCTTTCTTTACACAGAAAAATGAAAAGTGTTATTTACTTGCAGGTATGATAAAGGTTCTTGGTTATTGCCATTAACGCTTATTCCATTTCTTGGGCCTGTATTATACCTCGTCTTCCGGCCATCACTCTCTGAGATTACACCTGTGCGCTCGGCTGCAATCAAGGAAGAGTAAAGCCGCATATGTGGCTTTTCTTTTGTTTTGATATCGATCATTGTCGAGTTTTCATTTGTAACATGTAAATTTATCTTGTCCCCCATGAAGGAGAACTTTTTATTGGAGTTGAAATTTTGTTGATTATCGGTCACCAGAAATTAATAAAAGGAAGGGTTGATGATGCAGAGGGAGAGTAAAATTTTAATTTACCATACTAGCTATTGCCATGTTGCATGCCTTGGCAGAGGGAATCTTCTATTATCTAATGATGGTCATCTTAACTCACTCTGCAACCGCAAATTATTTCCTCCAAAAACTGCGGAAAATATTTACCCAAAAAAAAAAGCCTTAAAAAATTAAAGGAAATTATAAATATATCCTTAATTTTCTTTAGAAATATAAAATACCCTTTTAAAAAAAAAACAAATTATATCTATACCCAAAGTTTCACCAAATAAATTACGTCTATACCCAAAACAAATTAAAGCTTGACGGTCCATCATAGACTCACAACTCTAATACGACTTTGATGCCCAAAAAAGTATCCATACGGGTGACTCATGATGGTACATCATGGCTGCCCAAGGGACCAAAGGAATTCCTCGGGTATCATGAGCCCGCGAAAGGCATTCTAGGTCAAAAAAAAAAATTAAAAAAATAGGAGAGAAATCGTGTAAGGTTGGGGATAAACGTAAATTTTTTAAAAAAATAAAATAATAATAATACTTTTTTAATTTTAAAAAGTGGATTTTATCATAATTTCCCAAAATTAAAAATAAACATGAGGTATTAATATTCAATCAGATCTTTGATATAAATGCCTCCATAAAATCGCTTCTAAAATGTAAAACACGCCCCAAGTCCCCCATTTATTCAGCCAATCCAAGAATCACCACCCAATACATTGAACACCATGATTGAATCTTCTTGTGACCAGAATTGAATAAAACCAACCATTTTATTCCACAGGAGAATGCATTTTGAAAGGCTCAATCCAACAAATAAACTCTCTCTCAGCCTAGGCCTGTTTTAGTTCAGAAATCCATTGACCATTTGGCATGGATGTGTATACATACCCTGACAGTGTGTGGCCCGCCCCTGGCGCAGGTACATGGAGAGAGAGAGATATCTTAACATGTATCACATACTAGCCTAGAGAGAGAGAGAGAGAGAGAGCTTAACATGTATATACCACATAAAGTAGCTCAAGTTATTTCACCACAAGTCAATCGAGTTTTTAAATGCTACTTCTAGAAAAACCGGGTAAAAAACAGAACAAAAGGGGCATGATCCGGCATTAAACAAAGCACACCACCTAGCCGTTATGAAATAAAATAGAAAATCTATAGCATCCCAAACAACCTTACACTACGAGATAGAATGGAGTACAGTACTGGCATTAGCAATATTAGATATCGATGTTTCTACCGATACTTTAAATAAGTACAAGATTATTGACATCCTAATGCAGGTCAAGACCCGGCAGTTGCCGCAAACTTCTGGCCCCCTGCTGACCAATGTGTGTGAGAGAGAGAGAACTGGCGGCTAGATATCTGAGGTAACACACGCACATAGAGGGAGAGAGAGGTTGGCAATGGCCAGAAATCTGTGTACTGGTAGCACATGCACATAGATGATAGAGAGAGACAGTAGCCCAAGATCTGAAGCTCTCACACACAAACACACCAAAATTGGGGCACGCAATGGCTGAAAATGACACACACACACAGCAAAAAGTGGGGCAGGCAATGGCTGAAAATGAGTAAATGACATACCACCCCAAGGGGTTGATGTCATCGTGAAGGCAAAGAAGTTTGACTTTGAAAGCTCTAGACTTAGAAATCATTTGAGGTTCAGATATAAGACACTGGAATCTGTGTATGCTTCTCACTCATACAGGTTATGCACCTCGTCTTTGAACTTGGTCTTCAAATTTTCTCTCTTTATCTTGAGGGCAGCAGTTACCAATCCGGATTCTGGTGTCCATGGATCAGGCGACAACATGATCTTTGCCGGGATTTCAAACTTGTCTAGCTTTGCATCCTTTCCTGCCTGTACACAAAAAATTAGGGGCTTAAAGTTGAGAATCATTTTATTTTCATAAGTAGATCTGGTTTGTCATTACAAATGTAGGTTGGCAGCAAATATTTCGCTAGTTTCGTGTGGGTATGATTTAGAGGTGGGTTTTTTAAGAGATTATGAATTTTAGGAAGATTACCATCTTTGCTTCATGTTTGTGCTTTAGAGAGACAGATGAGGCTTTTTAGAGAGGTCACAGATCTCAGGAAGATGATTTTTCATTGTTGAACTGTGTGCTTCATTGAGATATACGAGTCGTCGGAGTGATAATGAATTTTAAGCAGATGGTTTGCTGTTCATGCGTGTGCATGTGTGTGTCTGTATGTGTGTGTGTGTGAGAGAGAGAGAGAGAGAGGGTTTTTCTCTTACCAAGAGATGAGTTACTTCACAGAGTAAGAACTTCAACAATACTGGTTTTCCTTTACTTTTGAGAGAGAAAGAGAGGTGACTCTTTTAGCACGTGCATGTGGGAATAAAAGGAGAAACTCGAAACCCAGGTAAAAACGCAAACATCGAATTTACACGTGAATGCACCCACATGTGCATCTCAACTCTCTAGGTGGTTGTCATCAACTATTTGGAGTATCAATATCACCATACATAGTTCAAAAGCAGCGTATACTCTCATAAAAGACAAAAGATGAAATTCCAAGGCAATTTCAGATTCCCCTAAAAAAGTAATTTCAGTATGTTAATCCTTCCACAAAAGATAGACTTGAAAAAGCTTAGAATAAGTCCTGAAAGGCAAATATTATAGATACTTGCTTAACAAAGAGAAAGCTCAACTACTGACCTTCATGAGAGCTTGCTGAACCTCTTTGATAGTTTCCTGCTTCTGGCACAGGTCCGTGAAATCCTTGCACTCAATACCTGAATTCTTGGCCCAGCTTTCAATAGAACGCCGTGATGGGACAACCAATGCGACACAGTAGCTGTGGAATGGGTCAGCATGCACCATAATATTGTCCACATAGTTGCTTGTTAACAAGGCTGCCTCAACCTATAACAAGGCACCAATTAGTTGTACCGCTCTTGTGATCCTTGATGATCAGAAGAGGTTAAAACATGAAATTTGATCTATAGATGAGGTTCAAATACCTTTCCAAGAGAAATATATTCTCCATGTTGAAGTTTCACTATATCCTTCTTTCTATCAATGATCTCTAGACAACCGTCAGGATGACATCTCCCAATATCACCAGTATAAAACCATCGAACCCCCTTTTCATCCGTCTGTGACATTTATAGTGTCATATAGTATTAGACGCTTGTAACGTGTGTTTAGTGATTACAATGTTTGAGTTAAAAGAGTTCCTTACCTTGTAAACCTCTTTAGTTTTTTCTTCATTTTTGAAATAACCAGGAGTTACACTCAGTCCCCCAATGACAACTTCCCCTCGAGGCATTGGTGTATCAGAAGTCCTATATCCACCCTCTTCCCAAGAAATAAGCTGTGGAATTGGAACAAACACATGCGGTGAGAATGTGAAAATTTGATTCACCCTCAAAAACCTATTTAACAGTGCTTAAGATAAAAGAAAGGGACATGCTAACTCCCATAGGCAAATGAGCTTAAGTCCAATAACTGGGCTGGGGGTTCTTGTGTTGGCTAGCCCATATTCAGTTTTATTTGCTACTTTGTTGATATGAAAAAGATGTAAAAAGTTCCTGGAAAATTCTCTGATAAAGGATATGAAATTTATTCGCTAAGAGCAAATTAGAAACTTTTATTGGCAAATGAGCTCAAGTCCAACCAGCTTTAGGGGCTCTTGTGTTGACTAACCAGCATTCTTTGTCACTTTTATTTATATGAAAAGAAACATAAAAGTTTGGGATGATTTTCTAATGGGAATGGGATTTGGAATTTCTTGCACTAAGAACAAATTAGAAGTTTCCGTTAGCCAAATAAAATATGAGATACCTTTACATAGCAACATGGAAGAGGAGGCCCCACACGACCAACAGATTCATCATCCCAATCAGAAAATGTGCCCCCAGCACATGTCTCAGTCAATCCATATGCCTGCTCTACTGGTGCCCTGAAGAGTACCAATCACATTATGATTCACTAATCCTGTAAAAGCTCCTAGTTATTTTGGAAACCAAAACTTACATACTACAATTTAAAACAAGAGAATATAAGCATAGGTGTCAAATGTTAAGACACAATGCATTCCTATGTTAGCAGACTATTTGAGGTCAATATGAACCGTGTAAAATCTTTTTGTATAGAACACTCGTTCATTTTATATTTCAAATAATCCTTGCCCAATATTATTCAGGACAAAAACATACAAAGAAATTAAAGATTTATAGGTTTCTTGGGAAAATAAAGAAAAGAAATAATCATTATTTTGGGAGGTCAGCAAAGGTATAATATTGATTACCCAAGGCATATATTAGTGAATCTTTGAGTGTCTCCTGACAAAGGAGCTCCACCACAAAGCACACCGCGAACATGTCCTCCGAGTATGGAACGTATTCTCTTGAAAACAATGAAATCCCACAAGACCTTTTCTAGTCCCCAAGCACCAAACCAGCTTCCCTCTATAGCTGCAAGCCTACGTTTGTATCCAATGTCAAAGAGCTTCTTTGACATCCCACCCTTTTCTTCAACCTATATATTTGTCACAACAATCAAGCATTTAGTTTAATCCAATGCATTCAAATACTCCAAATACAAGTGTGGACTCACTTAATCACCTTTTTCCTAACACCATCCCGTACACGATCTAAAATTGCAGGAACAGCTGCCATGAGTGTGGGTTTCAAGGCTGAAGCATCGCCTTCTGTTCCTTGTTTGATTTTATTCGATGTGTCAGTTAAAGTCCATGCTGAACCATAACCTATTGCACAGCCTGCAGCTAACATCACAGCCTGGAAATCAACACAATATCACCAAATCAGATACGGATAGTCTACTACGTTTTTTGACACCAATGAATGATATTGCATTATCTTACTTCAGCTGCCAACTCAAGAACATGTGCTAAAGGAAGATATGCCAAATAAATATCTTTGATGCCCAGATTGGGAATTGTTGTTATCACAGCTGCTGCAGTCGCAATAATATTTCCATGGGTCATCATCACTCCCTGCATTGTTGAACAAGACACTAGTCTTAATCATCGAGAAAAAGAACTGAAATACACAACATTGATGTCAATTACAAGCCGAAGAATAAAATGGTTGGTAATCAAAGAGACACCTTTAGTAAAATGAAAAGCATATCTAGGAAAAGGCAGCGCAGAACAAATTTGTAAGTAGTCACACATCCCACTTTCAACACCTTATCAAGTTCCCGGTAATTTATTAGAGAATTACCCTAGAGGTATTTCATATCATTCCAATAGTTTTCTTTCCAATGAATGCCCATTCCAATTGTTCTTTCATCGGTAATTTTTCATTCCATACAATAAGAATCACAAGAGTGATTCATACTCCAAGAAGCTTCCACTAAATAAATATATTAGTAGTGAGTTGTTAGGATTCTATATTAATTGCAACCATTTCTACTAAGAAATTGTTGGTAGGCGAAATCAGTGAAAAGTAAACAAAGTAATCATTTTCTTTCTTTTTTTTGAAGAAATTGTTTGCAAAGTAACTACTCTTGATAATTAATACAGAAGCAAATCGATTGTGCTGGGTACTAAGGCGTCATGGACACATGTAACTCTCCACGTTCAAGTTTGCATGAAATGTGCACAAGGGCAACTTATAAGTTTATGTGCAAGTTTTGGTAAAAAGTGTCTACACAAAGTTCATTACCAAAGATATCCATAGTTTGAAGTAAATGACAATACAAAGGACAGCATGGAAACCAACAGCCAATGATGTCGTCTTCAGGCAGCACATTCTGGTTACTGTTTAATTGTGCTAAAGAAATAAAAGTTTAATGTACAAATATTTAAATGAAAAAAAAGATCATATCAATTAGATAGGAGTTTGAAAAGAAAGAGATCAAGATTCAATACCCATTCTTATGTCACTCATTTTCTTCCTACACAAATATGGGGTGGATCCTAAAATTTATATTTCAGACTAATAAAGCAGGAAACTGGCCATACATGTGGTGGTATGAAAGAACAGTCCGTTCAAACCTTGGGTACTCCTGTGCTTCCACTTGTATACATGATGACCGCAATGTCAGTTTTGACTGGTAGTATTGGATCAGTGGGATTTTCTTTCCCAATTTTTTCAACTTCAGAAAAGGATGATAATATGCAATTTGGCATTTTCTCTGACAAACCAGAATCCACTGAAACTCCAGCATCTTCTATGTAAATTATGTTCTTGACAGTCTCCAAATTTGAACTTATAGCAGCCAATTTTTTGAGTTGTTTGGAGTCACATATCACTGTAGAGACCTGTGTCTGCAAAAGAAAGACAAACAACACACAGGATTTGAGCTGGATTAACTAGCTCTTTTGAGGTGTAACTGATGAGTTTATCTATATATTAGCATTAAGCACAACAGTGGGGATGACATTCGATGCAAAACTAATGAAATAAGTATTTGGCCCTTTTACAGAAAAAGACAGAAAAAGAATGTAAAGATGAGAACATGTTTGTTGGTCTGTTTTGCTCTGTAGGTCTAGCATCTCAATAGAACTACGCTAGTCAACAGCTAGAAGCACACTAGAATAAAAAAGTATGTTTCGAAATCCCAACTAAAATTCCAACCAACCAGAAATGAATACCACTCAGGTCAATGGTCCATATTTGTCTGGCTGGAACAGAGCACACATAGATCAGGCAAAAGAAAAGAAGAAGAAGAAAAAACTGAAGTGCTAAAAAAAAGGGCAAAAACACTAGGAGATAAATCCCTCCGGTTTACTCCCAGTATGATATAATTTTTTGCCTTATGTTCATATATTGCAGCTTCAAATGTCAAACTATACAATGACTTTAATAAAATACATCAGCCAAAACAACTCATTCCCACCTATTAGTAAAATTATAGACAAACTATAATATATTACATCACATGCATTGCTGGTGACACGACGAGTTGTTTGGCACTATCATTTAGATTCCAAGGCGATAACAAGTAACATAACTTCTTCGAGCAATACAGTACGAGAATTGGATAACTCACCTCATTAATTGAGTGGGTAAGAGCCTCTTCTCCCAAAGAAGCATAGATTGTAACAACCGTGATGCTCTTACGGAAACAACCCTATAGTAAAAAACAAAAATGATGTAAATTAATGCCAAAGTGTAAAGACAACCTTACTCCTTTTTATGTCCTGCATAGAAATGAGATGGCCTTCTAAAGTACAACTTATTATCAGGAGATGAATGCAATACCAAAATCCATAAAGAAAGGGAAGCATACCGTATATACTGAGCTTAGTATACACACTATAGAGTAACTTTTCATCTCCACTGTCCATCTCAAAGATGGATGGTGCAGATGAACCGCTCCACTGTATACTTATCAAAAAACACAACTCTGTGGACTTTGTTTGCTATAAATTAATTATAAAACATTTTTGTTGAAGGCACCTATAGGCAAATGAATTAGAGAATCCGAAACGATTAAAGACGGTCATTATATGATCAGTCATGTCACCTGCAAGGCGATAAACCATTCAGCCCTAGTTTCAGCAAAAATCACAACACGAAGGTTTGGATTATGCCCCAATTTCACAAGACCCGAAGCAAAATCACAAGCACGATTAAAAGTCTCTGTAAAACTCAACCATTCATATTCACCAAGATGGAGTTTCTCAAGAGGCCTTCCATCACCTGAGGTCATTGTTTCTCTACTGATAAGCTTTCTTGAACCAATAAACTTATTGCGACCGTACTTCGTGCAAGCCTGCTCGAAAAGAGCAGCAAGAGTTGAGGCCCCTTCCCATGGTAACTCAACCAAAGCATCAAATCTATTGTTTCTCACTGTAAAACCAGGCTCTCCACCAACTTCAACTGGAACTCCCCTTGTTTTGGCTTTCTTCTTTCCAAAGACCATTAAAGAAAGCAATATAGGAAGAAGAAACCCAAAAATAATAGTACCCACGTTCAAGAGTAGACCATGGTTTCCTGATACAAGTGCACCATACATTTCTTCCGAATTTTGTGACAGCAATGAGATTACCATTTGCTCATAGGGTTGCCGAGAAATGAATCTCCCCAACAATTTAATGGATCAATCTGAAACAAGAACTTGGATTAAGCATGTACCAATTGATTATAAACGTTTCAAGGCAAATGTATATAGCAAAAGAACAATGACTTTAGTGTCAGAATATGTGACCCCAAATTCCAAAAAGCTATAAATGTAGTTTTCTTAGAACAGAAGCTTAAAGATAGATATGAGATTATGTCTAACAAGAAAAGATTAAACTTTCAAAATCTACTCCTCAAGGAAGCACCCAGAAAAGGTTCATAGCATATCATCCTGATAGAGAAGAGTGATATATTCTCAAAATTAAACTGATCAGAACAGATATAAGAACCATATATTCTTAAAACTACTATCTTAAAAATGATATATTCTCAAAAATGCTTCAAGAAATGGTGCTTGATTTAATTAACCCTTGAATATTCTGATCAATAAGAGACTCCATAACAAATTAGTCCAATAAGAAACTCAATTTTTTATAATAATCTGAAGAATCTAGTGATTATTCAAGAAGTACTATAAGTAGTAATTAATGCTTACATTCTGAAAATTCAGAGAGTAGTAAACTGCAAAATCTTACTTGCTACTTTGTTTAAAAAAAAAAAATTAAAAACACAATGCAGTCCTTTTGCAGAAGTTTAACAATTTATGCTAGAGATTAAATCTTATATAGTAAAATTTTGATCCTCAAAAGATTTCAGTTAGAATTTTTAAAATGCCTTGACCTAGTGAACTCTATACACCCAGCAGTAAATTTCATTTAAAAAAAAAGTATGAACAACCAATAATCAGAGAAGCTAAATTGGCTTTAAAATTACTATCACACAGGAACCAAAGCTTAAATTTACCCTCTAAAAATAGATTTTGACTAAAAATACTATGCAGGGGCCTACAAAAGAAAGTACTAAACCAGAAAACACTAATTTAATTGTAAGAATCCGAAACTAAAAGAAAATTCACAATGAAGAATTTTAACAAGGAATTTCACTTTTTGTTATAAAAGATTGATCACACAAAAGGATTTTAAGTGAGATTCTTAAAACGATTTGAACGTCTGATCATTTCCATTAAAACTACCTTCATCAATCTAACGTGGTTTACACTCAAAATACTGTAAAAATAAACTAAAGCTTAAAATTAACAATTAAACTGCCATTTAAATGCATCATTTCTCACTGGAAAGCTACAGATGCTTCCACTCAATCAGACATCAATAAAAGGACAAAACAAAACTGGAACGATCCGATCAAAGACTTTAAATTTTTAACAGCTATAGAACTACAAGCCAGCTAAATGAACACAAATTAAACCTGAAAAAAGCAGAAATTCAAGAAAAAAAATGCAGAAGTGAGCACTCAAAATCAAAAGGAAAAAAAAAATGGAAATCTAACCGTACAAAATATGGAAAAAAACGCTCGTCTCGATCCTGAAACTCAAAGCTTCAAGGCGATGAAAATTTGATTGCAAAGAATTCTAAATAAAAGAGGAGACAGTAAAAGTTGCGTGTTAAAAATGACAAAAATACCCTGGTCATTTTTAAAGTGACCAAACCAAAGATGGGACTCCGGTTTTGGTCCACACAGAGATTTCGGTGCAATACCGACAGAATAGTGTGCATTTCGGACCTGATTTCGGAGATATTCCATTGCATTATTTCGGCTGAGCTTTTTATTGTCGAAAAAGTAACAGAAAAAATTTATATAAGGGTGGGCCCCTAAACAATCAAAGGCGCACCTCGTAAATTTAAAATTCATTAGAAAAGGCCGTTTCAATGGCTAAAAATACTTAAATGGATCATTTTGACATCAAGATGTATGGATAGAAGAAAAAATAAATTTTTAAGTCTCGAAAATAATACATTTTCAAGATTTTGTCAATTTTCAAGAATTTTTAATATTCATAGATATGTTCAATCTGTACTATTTTTTAAGTTTTAAATTTTATAATTAAATATAAAAATAAATTTTCAACCATTCACAAAGATTTCCATGACAGAAAAATATTTTTCGAGACTTTTTTCAACTTTGATCATTTAAGACCCAACCTTGGACAAACCACACCCAAAAGTAAACAAACTGTGAGGTTGGTATAAGATGCCTTCCTTGTACTAGGGCCTCTAAGCTTTGCTTGGAGATGTAAATATGGTGTCCAAAATCTTATAATGGCTTGAAAATCTATTTTTATTCATAATTATAAAATTTCAACTTTCGTAAAAATAATACAGATCGACCTTCTCTGTGAATATTAGAAAATATTGAATAGGAGGTTTAAATAATTTTGTTACAAGATATACTATATTTAAAAACTAAAATTTTTCTTTTTCTTCATATCCACGTATCTCGAGATTGAGATGATCAATTGGTGGATTTCCCGGCATAAGAGTACTTTCAACTAGAGAATTTTTAAGATGCACATTGCTTCAATAGTATAAGGTTGCAACCTTACATAAACTTTCTTCATAAGTAAAGCATGGTTTAAAAGGTTTGATTTTAGTTTATTATTTAATTCTTATTTTCAATAGTTTATCAATAGGGTTGTAAAAGTTGTTGATCCAGTTGATACCTCACTGAGCCGATTCCCGCCCAGAATTGGGTTAACTATATTTATAGTTCGGAACAGTATTTCATAAACTCATTACTCCCATCCTGTAACACATTTGTTTGATGATTTCAAATCATAGGAAAGATAATCTATGCAAAATCCTCTTTTTATTTTTTTTATTTTAAAAATTTGTCTAGATCACTGATTTAGCCGATACAAATCGGTATAACGGATGGATCCATGTTTTTTGTCTAAGAAGGGAGATGATCTTAAATTTTCTCTTAACATGTCCCATGTTCGGGTAAAAAAGTTGGGTTGTATTAAATAGACCGCCAACATAAATTTTATCGAAAACTTATGTTATCAAGATTTCTGAGGTCCAATGAGCTTATGGAAAAATATGATTTGGAAACATGAAATATTTTCATGGGGCCTAATCCTCATGTCTTTTCATCTAAGGGTGTGGTTTCTATAAGGTTGCAACCTTAAACAATCCAATTAAGGCGCACTTCCAAATTTTATCATAACGTGTAATTTTGGTGTAAAAAATTATTAGGATTATTTGAAATTCTATCTTTGTATCTAATTATAAAATTTTAAATTTCAAAAATAGTTAAAATCAAGTAGATCTATAAACATGTGAAAATCTTGAAAATTGATGGTCTAGATAATGTGACACAAGATGCGCTATTTTTGGGACTCAAAATATTTTTTTTTCGTATTCACACATCTCGATGTCAAGATGACCAATTAGAGGGTTTTTCAACCTTAAAACAACATTTTTGGATGGATTTTTGAGGTCCATCTTTACTTCTACATTTTAAAGTTGCAAGCTTGTATAAACTTTTTCCTTCATCTAAATCTTACTTTAAGTAGTCTATTCTGTTATTATGAATAACTAGACTAAGATAAATTTACGTAGCATGATGCCCGTTATAATTATCCTTGTATTATATTATAAAGCTGGCTTTGAAAAATGGTTGGACTTTTGTATCAGGTTCTTTTTATTTATCATTTCACCTTTTGAACCAGTTTTATTTTTATTTCCTTTTTATAGCAATATTGAAACCTCAAGTCAAAAGACAAATAAATTGGCTCATTTTGGCATCAGCTGGCTTTGGTAAGCGATTCTTAATAAATTATGAATCTTGTAATAGAAAGTGAAAGTATATAATGAGACTATTTACTTTTAGTATAAAGTGGTCATAATTAGTCTTGATAATTGGATGTAAAATTGGGTAGCTGTATTTATTGATTAAATTTAAAATTCAAAAGAAAATTCTTTCAAACTTTGTAATACACCCAAGCTATCAGATAGTTACAATTAATTTTGATTTCCTTGTACCAAAGGTAAATTGACTCATTATATATAATGACAATAAAAAAACAAAAACAATTATAGCTCAATCGAACATGTAGATTGAGACTAAACTAACTCCTAAATAAAAACGAGTTTCAAAATATTTAAAAATGGTGAAACTAAGGCCATGAATGGTCACAAAAGCCCAACCTTAGAGAAACATTGCATAGGAATTTGGAGAGAGAGGGGAAGACAGAGCCTATCGAGGATGGTATTAAGTTTGGGTGAGGTTTTTGCTTTTCAAGCAAGGCACATCTTTAAAATTTGTTGGAAGATGTAGTTTCCGTATTATGATGGCTAGAAACTCCATATTCAAGCTTAATTGTGAAATTAAAAGTTTAAAAATAATACTAATTGACCATCTGGGGTGGCAATGGGTTTGGTTCAGGCCGGACCCGAACCCAAACCATGACCCAAAAATATAATAGAGGCCTAGGACCCAACCGGACCTGACCCAAAATTTGAAATATCTATATATTTAAATATATTTTATAAATTGGGACCCAAAAATATATTGTGGAACACAAACTCGGATCCAGACCCAAATAGCATTCATGTCCAAAATTTTTGGATCTGTCGAGTCCAATTTTCGAACCCATACCCAGACCCAGTTCACATGTACTTGTCCAGTTCCATACTATTGCCACCACTAGACCATATCTATAAACACTTCAAAATTTAAAAAATAGACGGTCCATATAAGTTTTATAAGATGGATTATTTTTTAGGACTTGAAATTTTTTTATACTATACATCTCGAGATCGAGATAATCAATTGGAAATTAAACCAAACACTCTTTTATGTTGAATTTTTGAGGTGCATCTTAACTCTTTCCATTAAGTTTTGTTCATTGTTTTTGTTTGAGGAACCAGGGGTACAATAGGCATTATAGACAAAAACAAGCTCCAAGGTTACAAAAATATAAATTTAACATACTATTATATTATGAGTAATGATCATATAAGACCTTTTTTTACCCATATGTAAGTAGGATTTCAAAAGATTACTATTAAAATTGACATAAATCTCTAAAAAATTATCTTATGAATGTGAAATTTAATCTTTTTATAAGTTCACACCAAATTTGACTGTGATCTGTTTTTAGATCACACACGTATGGGTCGAAAGGATTTATAGGATCTTTTCTTTTATATTATATTATATTGAATACTTATCATTAAAGAAAAAAATATTGGCTGATTTTAACTTCTTCTAGAGACTGTGGGCATCACAGTTTTGGGGACGTGTAAAAAGGATAAGGGAGCAACTTGACACTTGGCCGACATTTTAATGGAGAGAATGAAAGTGGGGCACTGACTTTAAGGCGGAAGACGTAGGGTTAGCATTTTAAGGAATTTTGAGACATCAATTGACTTTAATACCTAATATTGAGAAGGACATAAAAAATTGTGGGTGTTGTTTTTCCAAGGAAATAAAATATGGGCTTGGGCCTTGGGAGACCAAACAATTCCTTGTCCAAATTTAGACAAAAATATCAGCACTCAACTCTCTTGTGACTTCGTACTCTTTGTTTGATTTTGAAGCTAAGTTATTCGGGGTTAAAAAGTTGGGAAATTATGAAAATATTTTTTTTAGATTCTTAAAAATAAATCTCAAATTTTTTAAAACTTCATTGATACAATTTTTTTATTTTTTTCTTCATTGTTTGTATTTTGTTTTTACAGAAAAACCCTTCATGATAGCCTTACATATGTGAAGGCATCACATCCGACTCAAAACATGATGAATTTTCAAACATCATGATGATTATTGGGTTATTGGAGATTGTAGAACATCACAACATTTTAAACAATGTGATGTCTCTCTTGACTATCACGGCATTTTAAATGTCGTGATGGTTATAAACATACTGAAAGTTTAAAATCATCATGATTTTCTTGTACATCATGATTTTTAAAACACTATGATGTCTCATTTGACCATCACGGTATTTTAAACACTATGATGGTATGAGCGTAGTGGAATTTCAAAATGATCATGGTCTATAGAGTGTCGTGATGTTTTCCTTATACATCATGGCTTTTCATAGTTTGCTGGGTACTTGAACTTTAAGAGCATCATGATCACAGTTTTGGGTCTACCGTGATGCTTTTATGGATCAAAGACTATCATGAAATGTATTTTCGTCAAAAAAATACAAACAATGAAACGAAGTAAAAAGATATGGATGAGATTTTAGAAAATTTGAGGTTAACTTCTAATAATCTAAAAAAATGTATTTTTTTTATAATTTCCCTAAAAAGTTTGAGTCTATTTGTCACACCCCAAGAATTTACAGTACTGTTATTCCTGAGATGTGACAGACAAAACATATATACATCTATTGATATGACAAATTTACAGTGACGAGGTCTTACAAAGTAAATAAAAAAAGCTAGCACAACAACAGTATCTTCCAAGGTTGATCTTGACTAGCACTCAAAATGAATCCGTAGTTATCCTGAAAAAATGTTTACCATAGTTTGATGAGTTTGGCTACTCAGTAAGTGATCATCATAATCCTAAAAATAATCATGATTTGAAAGATATCAATATTTACCAAAATGAGATCTATTAACAGAAATGCATCAACAGTTTC